AAAAAAAAAACCCCACAAATTCTGACAAACTCCAAGCACTGATTATGGAAGAATTTGCTGCCATCAGTCAGGACGTGGCCCAGAAGTTGATTGACAGCATGCCTGGGAGAATTGCAGAGGTCTTGAAAAAGAACGGCCAGCACTGAAATATTGACTCTTTGCATAAACATAATGTAATTGTCAATAAAAGCCCTTGACATGTATGAAATGCTTGTAATTATACTTCAGTAACATCTGACAAAAAGATCTAAAAACACTGAAGCAGCAGACTTTGTGAACAATATTTGTCATTCTCAGAACTTTTAGCCAAGGCTGTAGTCATAGTTGATTTACAGGTGTCACTCGGGTTAGCGTGCACAGCCCCACACCCCCAAACGGCTCCCCTTTTCCACTTCCAAAACGGGAATGGGGAGGAGGAGTTCTTCACCTTGATGGCTTCAATTGCTCAGCCGCATCATTCATTCACAGGAATCTTTACATGGAAAAAAGGAAAATACTACTGCGTACTACCATTAAAGATCTGTTACAGAATACTTGGCTCTTGGGGCCCGCGTCTGCTTTTGTTGCATGAATGCTTTTTATACATGGTGTTATGTTTTAACTGCATTACAAGAATGGACTTAAGCACCTTCACACATGGATATTGTAGTTTATCAAATGTATTTATTTCAAGTACTTCTTAGCGCCGTCAATTTACGCAGCGCTTTACATACATATATATTGTACAATCACATCAGTCCCTAACACATACTAGGACCAATTTAGACAGGAGCCAATTAACCTACCAGCATGCCTTTGTTTTGTGGGAGGAAACAGGAGTACCTGGAGGAAACCCACACAGGCACAGGGAGAACATGCAAACTCCAGGCAGGTGGTGTCGTGGTTGGGGTTTGAACCAGCGGCCCTAGTACTGCCAAGTAGACGTGCTAACCATTAAGCCACTGTGCTGCATGATGGTAGTACTTTGATATGTTGCATTGAATAAAAATGTATTGAAAAATACCACTGCAGCAGAGGGACTGTAGGTCTCAATGGAGCACAAGCATGGGGATGTCACACTTCCTCATGTCACACTGTGACACTTTCACCAGGCCGGTGGCAGAAGGTGTGTACCTTTTAGTACAGTCCAGTGCTGCAGGAGTAGTCAGCATTGTACCCATGATTCACTGATCCTATGCAAAAAAAAACCCCAATAAACCCACTTTTTTTTTTTTAAATAAAAAAGGGTGCATTTATTATTTATTATATAGTGCTGAGAATGTCTGGTGTTGCCTCGGAATAGAGCAGAAAGTTCTAAAAGGCAATATAAACCGTCACAATATGCATCTGATTTAGTCCTTGCAACTTTGTAGGCACAGTCATTGGAAACCGCTATTAGGCCTCATTTGGACGTGTGGTGGTGGGGGGGGGGGGAGTTAAAATGCACGGTTGAGCTACATTTTTACTGCCCCCCTTAAGCCACAATTGTCAGTGGATGTGGGGGTGTTTTGCATGCCATGGTCGCGATACTACACTCCTGTAGCAAAGACTACCTGGCATAGCGATGAGGAAAATGGTAAAGTGCAGCCAATGCCCCAGAATCGCGTACAATGCACGCGGTTGTGGCAAGTTTGTAGGCAAAAATAGGGTTAAAACAGTTGGTAAGGAAATGTCACATCACCTTCTCGCCACCTGACAATCGCCTCTGAAAGGCGTTCTGGATGCGGATTGCACTTCAAAGGAGAAATGGATTTAGACCCACATCTAAATCTACCCTTTGGGCCAGTTCACACTACAAAAGCGCACTCCGGATACATTTTGGATACGTTTTAGCTTGCAGTTCATACCACGCTCCGTTCCGGTGCAGTTTTGATGCAGTTTGTCATGTTTCAGTACAGTTCTGTACAGAAAAAATGCAGCATGTTCTACTTTTTTTTTCTGCACTGGAAACTGACTGGAACTGATTGCACTGGGGTAAACTAGAACCATTGGAATACATGGAAAATACTGTGCATGCGTTTTTGATGCAGAAAAAAACGCACTGGACTGCATTTAATGTGAACTAGCCCTTAGAGTGCAAGTGCTCATTTAGACGTGCTTTACAATTTCAGATACCATGGACACCCAATAACACGCCTATCGTGTTAAGATGCGTTATTGACGCATTTTGCATGGCGTGCTTGCATCACATTATAAATACTTTCCAGGTGCCTCCTCTGTGTCGGTTTTCTATTGTATGGTATCTTTGTGGCACACTTGCAGCGTGTTTACATTGACCTGATTGGAGGCGTATGGAGAGCAGTAAAGCCGGCCTGCCCAATGCTACATGTTGGATATATTTGGCACAAAGCGATGCAAACTCAACATTGTGAACAACACTGTCCGCTGCAATGCATATAATTGATGCAGTTTCTTGACAGGCATCTGTGAGGCTTCAGAAATGCAGATTAACCCCTTGACGCCGACGGCACACAAATATGCGGCCTCACGGAACTGGGCTACCTGTCTTTGTGCTGGGTGCACACAGCACGGCGCGCTCCCAGCACAGAGACCGCGGTGTCACTGAGAGCCCCAGGTCCCGTTCTAATAATCGGGACCAGGGACTCCCGATTCTGGGTCACGTGATCGCTGTGATAGCCTCTGATTGGCTATCACAGTGATCAATCCCTGTGCAGCCCGGCCCCCTTGTTTTTTCACTGTCTATGAATGGAGAAGAGAGATACATTGTATCTCTCTAACTCCTGACATAGAGAGATGAAAAAATGTTTGTAAAAACAAAATAAAGATAAATATTAAAAAATAAAGTAGATCAAGGTTTGATCTAGTTCAGTGCCAGAGTTAGTGTTTGGGTCAAGGTCAGGGTCAAAGGTCAGGATTTTAAAAAAAAAAAAATTGGTATTAGTGTCAGTTAGCATTAATGTCAGTGTGTTTTTAGGTAAAAAAAAAAGACAAAAACAAAATGCGTACTATTGTTTCTGGGCTGTACTACTTGTACAAATAACATACACATACAGTGGGGCAAAAAAGTATTTAGTCAGCCACCAATTGTGCAAGTTCTCCCACTTAAAAAGATGAGAGAGGCCTGTAATTGCCATCATAGGTAGACCTCAACTATGAGAGACAAAATGAGAAAAACAATCCAGACAATCACATTGGCTGATTTGGAAAGAATGTATTTGCAAATTATGGTGGAAAATAAGTATTTGGTGAATATGAAAAGTTCATCTCAATACTTTGTTATATATCCTTTGTTGGCAATGACAGAGGTCAAACGTTTCCTGTCAGTCTTCACAAGGTTGGCACACACTGTTGCTGGTATGTTGGCCCATCCTCCATGCAGATTTCCTCTAGAGCAGTGATGTTTTGGGGCTGTCACTGGGCAACACGGACATTCAACTCCCTCCAAAGATTTTCTATGGCGTTGAGATCTGGAGACTGGCTAGGCCACTCCAGGACCTTGAAATGCTTCTTACGAAGCCACTCCTTCGTTGCCCGGGCGGTATGTTTGGGATCATTGTCATGTTGGAAGACCCAGCCATGTTTCATCTTCAATGCCCTTGCTGATGGAAGGAGGTTTGCACTCAAAATCTTACAATACATGGCCCCATTCATTCTGTCCTGTACATGGATCAGTCGTCCTGGTCCCTTTGCGGAGAAACAGCCCCAAAGCACGATGTTGCCACCCCCATGCTTCACAGTAGGTATGGTGTTCTTTGGATGCAACTCAGCATTCTCTCTCCTCCAAACACGACGAGTTGTGTTTCTACCAAACAGTTCTATTTTGGTTTCATCTGTCCATTAGACATTCTCCCAATCCTCTTCTGGATCATCCAAATGCTCTCTAGCAAACTTCAGACGGGCCCGGACATGTACTGGCTTAAGCAGGGGGACACGTCTGGCACTGCAGGATCTGAGTCCCTGGCGGCGTAGTGTGTTACTGATGGTAGCCTTTGTTATGTTGGTCCCAGCTCTCTCCAGGTCATTCACTAGGTCCCCCCGTGTGGTCCTGGGATTTTTGCTCACCGTTCTTGTGATCATTTTGACCCCACGGGGTGAGATCTTGCGTGGAGCCCCAGATCGAGGGAGATTATCAGTGGTCTTGTATGTCTTCCATTTTCTAATTGCTCCCACAGTTGATTTGTTCACACCAAGCTGCTTGCCTATTGCAGATTCAGTCTTCCCAGCCTGGTGCAGGTCTGCAATTTTGTTTCTGGTGTCCTTCGACAGCTCTTTGGTCTTCACCATTGTGGAGTTTGGAGTGTGACTATTTGAGGTTGTGGATAAGTGTCTTTTATACTGATAACAAGTTCAAACAGGTGCCATTGATACAGGTAATGAGTGCAGGACAGAGGAGCCTCTTAAAGAAGAAGGTACAGGTCTGTGAGAGCCAGAAATCTTGCTTGTTTGTAGGTGACCAAATACTTATTTTCCACCATAATTTCCAAATAAATTCTTTCCAAATCAGCCAATGTGATTGTCTGGATTTGTTTTCTCATTTTGTCTCTCATAGTTGAGGTCTACCTATGATGCCAATTACAGGCCTCTCTCATCTTTGTAAGTGGGAGAACTTGCACAATTGGTGGCTGACTAAATACTTTTTTGCCCCACTATATATGGTATCGCTGCGATCGTCAAGAGCTGGAGAATTTATTTTGGGTTGTTCTATGGAGGTAGGTTATGGTTGTCACTAGAAACACACAGCTAAATAAAAAAAAATGATTTTGTTTTACTATTTTGGGCCAGTTTTCCTTTGATAATAAAAAAAAAAATTAGGAGCTATCCATTACTATTTACCACCAAATGAAAGCCCAGTTTGTCCTGAAACAAAGTAGTTGTGATGATATGGACAGTTTTTTACTAACACATGTCAACGTTGCAGAATTGTGCTTAGGCATTTAGATTTGTTTTACCCTTAGGTGTGAAGGGGTTAAACATCTGATTTTGACGCTAGTGTGAACTTATCCTTAAATTTCAAAGTTTCAATGTCTTTTTTTTTTTTTTTTTTTTTTTCCCCGCTGTAGGTTGTTACTATCCCACAACAAGAGCAACGTGCTACTAATGAATCTGCCAATGTTCCCCCCACATCCCTGCAAACACAGAAACCCATCCCTTTTGAAGAAACGGGGTCTGCTGGTGCCAAAGCCGAGGAGACGCCGCAGTCGGCTAGCACGGCATATGAGACCGATAACTCTTCCCTAACCCCTGACCAGGAGCTAGAAGAGACCTCTGTAACTGGCAGCAGTGCTCAGTCTAGGCCGACAATGTGGATGAAGGACAGCAAGGAGGAGGATAACTTTCCGAAGCAGCCAAGTAGTGATTCTGAAATGTCTGCAGCTCCCAGCAAAGAGCCGGAACATAATGCTCGAGAGGCTGGACAAAACTCCCATGGAGACAAGGCATTTTACTCCAAATCAAAATGCCCTGCTGTACTCGCCATCATCTCCCATGAGCAGCGATGATGAGTCTGAGCTGGAAGATGAGGAGCTGAAGGTGGAGCTGCAGAAATTGCGAGAGAAGTTAGTGTGTTTTGATTACATTTGTGGCTGTTTTGTATGTGTTTTGTATTTAGCCCAACTAAAACTTCTTGATGTGTCATGGAGGGTTTCTCACGTTCTATTAAAGTGTTATTAAACCCCGGACCCTGCATTCACTATATCTTGGCTCCCCGGACCCTGCATTCATTTTATCAGGTCTTTCCGGACCCTGCATTCACTCTCTCTGGTCTCCCCGGACCCTGCATTTACTCTGTCTGGTCTCCTACAGTACACAGAACATGGAAATGCAATTATTTTAGTAAATATAAACTGCGATATACCTTTTCTCATCAGCGGTTAGAGCAGTCTTGTGACTTCTATCAGTGTCCAGCAGAGCACTGGTTAAAGCTTGTAGGAGGAGTTTTATTCTGCTCTAGGAGGATGCAAAACCCCTGATCTTCGTCTGGACAGTGCTGATTGGCCCTGTGCTGATCACATGCACTCTCCTAAGATAAAAAAAAAAAAACCTCTAGCAATACACACTAAACTGAGCATGTGCAGAATGGCTACGGTTCAGTCAGTCTTATCAGGAGATAAGATGTGGACATTTGAACAAGAGGAGGAGCAGAGAAGACAGGATCAAACAGTCTTTTTACATAATGTGGAGGATTAACCCCTTAGATTCCACAGTGAGTATAACAAGCATGCTTTACTGCATCTACAGACTGATTTTACTATTGTGGGTTTAGTAACACTTTAACTATTTTCTAATGTAATGTTGGCCCCCAGCATAATGATTTACTAAACTGCCACTTGTATTTCCCCTTCTTCAAGCTTTTTGTTCCATTGCTTTGTGCAGCTTGTTGTGTTTAACATAGTAGAGACGAAGTAAGGCAGAATGGGGCCCTGTGCAAACTGCTTTGGCCCCTCCCTGATTGCGTGGATTGGCATTGATAGAGATTACATTAAGCACAGAAAAGCAGTACTATGTGCGTGTGTTGTCTGTAATGGCGGCACCCCCTCCCCTCCCCCCCCGCCCCTTCATCAGACACAATACAGAAGCACATTCTCCATTGTGAAGTGTCAGGGAGATGTGCAGCTTTCTAAAAAGGTGATTCTTGAAGTAAACTTTTTATTTTCTAACAATAACAAACATATGAAACTTACCTGCTCTGTTTAATGGTTTTGCACAGAGCAGCGCTGTTCCTCCTCTTCCCAAGTCCCCCTCTGGTGCACCTGGCTCCTCCCCCTTGCAGAGTGTCCCCATAGTATGCCCCTTGCTATGGGGGAACTCTGTCGTACTCACTCTTGAGGTGGCTGTGTGTGTGTGTTTTCCTAGAACAAACAGAGCATGGCTTGGCCCCACCCCTGCTCCCTCCTCACTGGCCGTGATTGACAGCAGCAGGAGCCAATGTCTCCTGCTGCTGTGAGCCTATGAGGAGAGCAAGAATGGAGATAGCCTCTGCTCTCATGCACATTGCTGGATCAAGATCAGGCTCAGGTAAGTGTTTAGGGCGGGGCAGGGGTTGGTGGGAGGAGCTGCTTGCATAAGGTTTTTCACCCTAACGCATAGAATGCAATTTGCGAAGTGCAAGTGATGCGAAGTGCACAGTGATCTGCAATTTGCGAAGTGCACAGTGATCTGCAATTTGCGAAGTGCACAGTGATCTGCAATTTGCAAAGTGCACAGTGATCTGCAATTTGCGAAGTGCACAGTGATCTGCAATTTGCGAAGTGCACAGTGATCTGCAATTTGCAAAGTGCCCAGTCTATTTGCCTTTAGTAAAACAACCCCTATGTTTCACGCTTAAATTTATACAATTGTTTCCTTTCAAAGTTGAATTATATTACACACCTCCCAAATAGTTTGGTAAATTTTGTGTCCATTCCCTCCACAGGCACATTCAAGAGGTTGTAACGTTACAGGCCCAGCAGAACAGAGAACTCCAGGAAGTCAACTTATACACACGCCTGCGTTCTTTGAGAGAGAACAAAGCACAGGTCTCCGATACGTCATCCCAGCCAATGTCCCCACGTCGTCCCAGGTCACTAAAAAGTAAGCAGCGAAGCAGAACCCATTCTTTCACCCATATGGACAATGGAATTGCACTTTCAGGTGGGTACACTAAATGTAAAATACATGGCGGGCATTGCATGGCATGGAAAGTGTCTTCTACTCTGTCGGTGTTACTTGGCACTATTGCTATATGATTTTTGGAGTTGATTTGTCTGATATATGTTTTGTCATTGATATATCATAGCGCATAGCTTTGATTTATTGTAAGAAATCGACTAATGGTGAACAAAAACAAACAAGCTAGCTCTGAGGAAGGGGGTTCGTCTCCCGAAATGCGTTAGCCTATCCCTTATAGGGTGTTTGAATCCATTGGACTGTTCTTACGGATCACCTGTTCTGTTTTTATCCCTTTTTGGTTTGTGAGTATATATCTACAATTTTTTTCAATAAATATGTGGTGTACCACGTTAATGCACGATGGGAGTGCGCCCTTGTTTGTTTTTGTTCACCATTACCTAGATTTCCCGATCTCTGAAGGGCTGCACCTCAACGTTTTGGCATTCAGAATTTCCTTTAGTCTGCATTAAGATTTGGGCGCTGGTTTTGTTTTGTTCTTTAAGAAATCGACTGTTCAATAGTAGTATTCATGTTGGATTTATGGGTTTGCTTAGGTGTCAGAGTTGGGGTGTTAGGATAAGGTTTAGGGCTTGGAATTAGGTCCCGGTTTTGAGGTAAAGTTATTGGTTGGGGTTAGAGGATCCATGAAAAGGGATTATGGATAAAGTTATGATTCAGCTATGGGGTATCAACCCTCCATCCCTTACAGCTGAAAACTGCACCATCTTGGATTCTACTTAAAGCGGAGCTCCACCCAAAAGGGGAAGTTCCGCTTTAAGTCTTTGTCCCCCACTCCCCATTAAGGATTGGCACCTTTGGGGAACGGGTACTCGAATTTGACAGGTTCCCACTTCCACTGCGATCGCCTAAGGCATGTCCATGTCCTAGAAGACGACGGGGCCATTCACAAAGTGCAGCGCTTCTTGCGCATGCGCAGTGGGCACCCGTCTGTGAAGCTGTGCAAGCTGTCCCAGCAGGGTGCCCACACTGAAAATGCCGGGGAGAGAAAAACGGCCGGTGAAACCAGTGGTGGTGAGGACACCACTGGACCGAGGGACAGGCAAGTGGCTTTATTTTAAGAGTCAGCAGCTACAGTTTTTGTAGCTAACTTTTTTTTTTTTTTTTTCATCTGGAACTCCGCTTTAAGTTTGACTCCAGTTGCCATGGTGCTACCCACATTATCAGCTATGACCGCAGTCATTTAAGGGCTTGACAGTTCAGTCAATGTGTTCTGCAATAAAATACACCTACCTGCCAGCTTGCTGTCTTTTGTTGCATATAAACTGAGCTGCACATGTGCAGCTCACTTGCATTGCTGGCACAGTTCCTGTGTGCCAGGATGACTTTCTCCTGTTTTTGTACAGTAGTGAGGTTATTCTGTGTCAGCCAACGTAGGAGGACAAAGACTGGTGCCTTGCAGAAGATGCCAACAAGGCACGGGGACCATTAAAGAAAAGATCAGTTTAGCTCCGCTTAACCGTTTCCCGTCCACCCTATAGCAGAAGTACTGCTACAAGGTGGCACAGGTGTGCAAAATCACGTGTGTGTGTGTGTGTGTGTGTATATATATATATATATATATATATATATATATATATATATATATATAATATGTGTGTGTGTGATTTTGCAGTTTCGGATAGGGGTTGCGTACGCCCTACCTGCTGTCAATCACCGGGTCCCAGCCGGTGATTACTTGCCTGGGCATGGTGATTGTCAAGCATCTCCGACGGAGGGGAGAACTGTTTGTAAACAATACAGTTCTCTTCCCTGTCAGCTCCTGCACACTGCTTTGCATGGCTGTGCATAGCACAGCCATACAAAGCAGTGTGCTTACAGTGAAGCACTAACACAGCACACTATGTAAAACCACACACAGTTAACCCTTTGATGACCCCACATGTTAACCCCTTCCTGCCCAGTGTCATTAGTGCAGTGTCCGTGCTTTTTATTAGCACTAATCACTGTATTGTTGTCATTGGGGATGTCAGTGACACCAAGTCAGTTCCCCCAGTATCAGACTACCCGCCGCAGGCCCGCTATAGGTCGCTGATCACTGCCATTACTAGTAAAATAAAAAATACACCGCCATTTGTATACGCCATAACTTTCACGTATGTTTTTTTTTTAGCAAAGACATGTAGTAGAATAAATTTTTTACTGGACATGTTTAGTGGCAAAAAGTAAAAAAATATTGTTTTCTCAAAATTGTTGGATTTTTTTTTGTTTATAGTGCAAAATATAAACGCACAGGTGATCAAATACCTCTGAAAGAAAGCTCTATTTGTGGAGAACAAAGGACATACATTTCATTTGGGTGTAGCATTGCATGACCGCGCAATTGTCAGTTACAATAACGCAGCGCCGTATCGCAAAAAACGGCCTGGTCAGGAAGGGGGGTAAATCCTCTGGAGGGCAAGTGGTTAAATGGTTTGCTTGGTCCATAGCTACACTGCCCTGAAAAAGTATTCATACCCCTTGAAATTTTCTACATTTAATCATGTTACAACCAAAAATGTAAATGTTTTTTATTGGGATTTTATGTGATAGACCAACACAAAGTGGCACAAAATTTGTGAAGTGGAAGGAAAATGATAAATGGTTTTCAAAATGTTATATCTGAAAAGTGTGGCGGCATTTATATTCAGCCCCCCAGAGTCAATACTTTGTAGGACCCCCTTTCGCTGCAATTACAGCTGCAAGTCTTTTTGGGGATGTCTCTACCAGCTTTGCACATCTAGAGAAGACATTTGTGCCCATTCTTCTTTGAGTGCAGAATAGCTCAAGCTCTGTCAGATTGGATGGAGAGCGTCTGATCAGCAATTTTCAAGTCTTGCCACAGATTCTCAGTTGGATTGAGGTCTGGACTTTGATTGGGCCGTTCTAACACATGAATATATTAGAAGGTTTCATTGGCTCACTGGCTGTGATTGACAGCAGTGGGAGACAATGGCTCCTGCTTCTTTCTCAGCCAATGAGTAGAGGGCGTCCTGGGATAGCCGAGTCTCCAGTGCACGTCGCTGGATCGAGAGGGGGCCTAGGTGAGTATTAGGGGGAGCTGATTCATGAATGCTTGAATGTAAAAAATCTTCAGCCTTTAGAACCACTTTAAAGACCGTTTGTATTTGTAAAGTACTGAGTGAAAATGCAGGCTGGATACTGACCTTCTCTCTTCACTTTTTAGACCAGCAGTGCACGGAGAGCAATTCTGATGCTGGTCAGCAGTCTGTCACGGGGAAGAAGAGCATGTTCACAGATGACCTGCACAAATTAGTGGATGACTGGGCCAAGGAGAATGCAGGCAATATCCATCAAAAACCCAGTCTGAATCAGATCAAACAGAGCCAAAGCCGCCCAGAGTCAGAAAGCTGGAATCGGGTTCATGAGGTAAGGAAACGCTTGCCTGGCTTACAGTCATCTACCTAAATCTATGTTACCCAAGCATTGTATATGATCTCATTTTGTACCTTTTTAGTTTGCTTTATCTATTGCTGAAACTTTTTTTCTTAAAGATGAGCTTCATGCTCATCGTAACATTACAACAAAGGCACCTTTAAAAATGTTTTTTAATGGCAATGTACAAACAGGTACTTGGAGATAATAGAGATTTTTATGTATCCTTTGCACACTTTGCTTTCTCACAGTGACCACCATCACTAAGGGCAGATGAATCCATCTCCTTTTACTTTCTGGAGCACTGGGTTTGTCTCTCGGAACATGTGACAGTGCACATTATCTGAGGTTGAGGGGGGGGGGGGGGGGGGGCGTTGGTGATGTCTTGCCTCCAAGATGTCACTCAGTGTACCAACAATATCCCAGGAAAGCACTGGTGATGTTGCCTTCCCAGGATGCAAGTGTGAGGCCAGGGCTGATTCTCCAGTGCCTTACTCAACCAGGAAGTGGAAAACAGTAATTGTAAGTAAACGCACAAAATTTTTAGCTTCTGAATATCAGGTGGTTTTATACTGGCATGTCTCCTTTAGGCGGAATAGGAAACTGTCAAAGAAAAAAAAATTGCTGATGGCCAGTCCCGTATAACCCCTAACACTCCCATGATTCTTTAGTTTTTTTTTGCTAGTGTCCTGGGAAGATGGACGTCTTGTTTTCATTGTAGAAACATTTCCCTATTTTTTTTCTAGACATTGTTACCATTTTCAGTCTATTTTCCTTTCAGTCGGGATTCTTTGTTAAACTGCGTAGCTGGGATCAGCTGATCTTCGGCGCTGCCTTGAAGGCCATATCCTAACAACACTGGACCTAGGTTTACAGGGCTAGCCTGTAATGTGACCTCGGCGCTGAGCTCTGCTTCTGTCACACTCCAGACACTTTTGTGTATTATTTTTGTTTTTTTTTTTTACTTTAACAACAATCAACTTAGAGGTCCAGGGCAGTGACAGTTTGCCTCTGGTGTGACCCTGATCCCCAAAGACTCCCTTGGTATGTCTGCAGTGGGCAAAATATTTTTCACCATGTGACCATTTCCCTGGATTTTGCATGTGGCATTCTGTAGTACTTACACTGCTTATTAGTCATAGAACACTGTCCCATGCCTATGACTGTGGTAAGTCTGGGGATTGTCATTGTACGAGTGTGACATTATTATTCTCTGCAGTCATTTCCTGAAAGGCATTGAAGATTTTAGAATAAACAAACTTAATGCTGCGCTGCTAATGTAAAGTATAAATACCAAATCATCAAACAATTGGATATGAAAACATCAAATATACATTAAAAAAAAGTGCATAAATCATATAAATAAAACACAATGTCCATAGAAACAAGTCTATGTGAATATGAATTAGAATGGTGAATCGTGGATATAGCTTTACACAACTCCACAGGATTTCTCACGTGCTCCTATAACCCAACACCATCCTAGAGTGCTGCAAAACATGCAGGTTGTGCCAACTCTCACTTTAAGAAAATTTGAGTGCACTTATAATAATTAATAAATTGGGGTTCTTCCTCTCTCCTGGTCATCCACCAGTTTAAAACCACTGGGTACCCTCCTTCCTTTTTCTTGATCTCCGTACCCGGTTGAGCAACCGGTCTCTTTAAGGGTTGCTTGGGATCAAATCTCCTACACTCAATGGAGGAATCTCCAAACACAGACCGCACTTCTGAATATGTCTCTTCCGGTTCACGTCTGCCTACGGCCACGTCCTATGCGTTCTATCACGCCCACTTGGCGTCATCTTTATCCCATGGCTGTTGAAGCCCATGTTCTATAGGAAAGGGGGCATCTCTGTGTCTTTGATTCCTGTGATGCTAAAGGCTAGAAATCCACTTCTCACAATCCATATCTCCATAGTCTTATCATGGTTGTTTTTTAATTCTCTAAGGTCTCCTTTGTTATTTGACCACTGCTCCCAAGTTACCAGCTTCTCTTGTGAGTATCCCTGGCATATCCTTTTATATGTATATATCTCTGCTTTTTGTTGCACGTCATCAGCCCTGTATTGCTCTGAATCCGGCGCTCTTAGTGTTAACCACAGCCCCTCCGCTTGCTGTGAGGTTTAATTGACTTGACAGCTCCGCCCACTTGCTTTGCCCATATTAGCCCACACTAAGATGGCCGCCGCATGCTCCGAACGTGCACCATCTTGGAAACCTGGTCCATGTGGTGACGCCATCTCTGTGAGCCTCCCTGCACCTCTCTGCAACTCCCTGAGCCCTGAACCAGAGTGGCAGGGATACACCCAGAGCACGGCTAAGGACTTCCTCCTCCACCGGACCTCCATTCTCTTGACATGCCTACTTGCTACCTGCCTATGTGAGTGCATTTTACCATTAAATGTGCCTGATTTTAAACCTACACTTTTAGTCTTGTAAAGGTACAAGTTGGTGTTGATGCCCAGGACTTCCTTCTTGCCTAGGCTAGTCTTTGCCTTTCACGTTAACCAGGGCATTGCTCTACCATCTCTGTGCAGCTCTGATTCATCATAAGAAAATGTTCTGGACATGCATTAGACAGTGAGAGTCTGTTTTTCTTTCAGAAAAATGGATTCCCTTCTTGTCCTTTCAGATGTGCCCAGGAAGGATGCCTTGGCTTCTGGTTTCATTGTCTTTAGCTGGTCCAGACACACCATCCTTCAATTTATGGTCTCGAGGATTAGGTTCCCGCCTTTTCTGTGAAGGCTAACTTCACTAGTTCTGGTGCTTTTCTGCATCATGTAATGGTTTCCCAGATTTGTAAGGCCTGCCACCTTGTCTCCTGTTCACACATTCTGTAAGCTTTACCAGATGGATGTTTCTGCCTCATCTGGAGCCGAATTCGGGTGTAGGTTCACTGAGCTGCAGGCAGGCCCCAGTTTTCTGTTTGCATTTGGCCTGTTAAGCTAATGTTATATGAATCAATATTCAATCGTGTCCCCTCCCCCGTTTGACAGAACTCGATGGGGCATGTTGGAGAATTTTCAGATGATCCGTGGCTTCAGTCAGTCAGCTTCTTTCAGAGTACAATATCCTGGTTTGTGGGGGGATTTCCTCATCCACTTTGGATGGAGGAATCCATTTGTGTGTTTGTTTTTTTTGTTCAGTCCAGGGGCGGACTGACAACTCATGGGGCCCCCGGGCAATAGAGTATCATGGGGCCCCTGTGTCCTTGGCCAAACTCAAAAAAGCCTATGAAAAAGGTACCAGGGGCATCTCATGGGGCCCCCTACTGACCCCAGGCCCTCGGGCAGTGCCCGAGTTTCAAAATGGTCAGTCCGCCCCTGGTTCAGTCCACTATTCAGTGTACGGCCAGCCTTTACCAGGTTGGGCCTGCTTGGCCTCAGATTTTTTTTTGCCGAATCTCCTGCAAGTGTCAGTATAACTCAGATTTAAAACTTTGTGATTCCTTCAGTGAGTACAAGAATCCTTTTTTTCTCCAGTAATATACAGGGTGATATTTAGAGACCAGTTTTATTGCAGAGAGCGGATACTGCTCTACGCCGATCACCGTAGTTGAGCAATTCATAAAATAGAGGCTACAGTGTGGGTACCTTGATGCCCAAGGCTGCAAATAGCACTCCATCATTGAGTAAGAGGCTGATCACATAACTGTGACAGGTAATGTGGATGGTCTCTCATCCTCCTCATTTTTTGTTTGCAGTACATTTTTGAGTATACAAAATGAAGTCACAACGTCAAGCCAACATATTTTCTAGTACAGCAATACACAATGGAACATGACATATGACACGACATTCAAAAAAAAAAAAAACCAACCTTAGTCAGAAATTACACATCTTGACAGCATACCATTAAAGTTCTTCGGTAGTACCTGGGGGAGAAGCTGAAGAGTATTTGGGCCCATCAAACAGATAAGGGAGGCATGGACTTGAACCTCATATAGAAGTGGCATGTGGGAACCGCAAACCAAGCAGTCGATATGGTTCGCTTCATATGGCTATAGTTGTGCCTGTGCCCTGTAGTAGGTATGGGACTGGGGAAATTCCCCAGCCTAGAGGATTACGGTGACCAGGCTGTGGGTTTGATGTAAATGAACAGGGAGAAGCATAGTGCAGAGTCTAGAAAGAAGAACAGAAAAGAATAAAGGGAGAGGAAAAGGGAAAGAAAGAAAGTGCTCTTTTATCATATGAATAAGGCTTTACTAGAGTATTCAGGCAAACAAATTTCTAAACACATTTGTAAAAGACATATCTGTTCTTTTATGTGAGGTTGTGTTTTTGGCCACAGTAACCATACCCCTGCTTTTTAATTGGTCCTGTTATTTTTATGCAGTGTTTGCCAACTTTTAAAAACAATTGACTAATTTTTTGCCAAGCAGAGTCCACTTTTCATTTTGTAGGGATAGAAAGAAATTTAAGCCGATTTAACTTGGTATTCTACATATAGTGAATGAGCAAAACTTTATTTTATTTGGCTTGTGGATGTCTTTTTCCAATAACGTTTTGTATTTTGTTTGCATTTGTTTCTTTCCTAGAATTCATCAGCTGCCCCTGGCTTCACATCGACCTGGATGCCCACGATATCTCCGATTCACGGGACTGTTCCTGCTGCTATTTCTTCATCTCTTGTACTCCCCAACTACCCAACAGGAGGAATTCAATCATACCCTGTATCACACACCTGCCAGTTCAATGCAATAGGCAGCACTGGCTACCCAGTACAATGGCCTACCCAGACACCGGGACATCCCTCACAGCATCTTGCAGCATTCCAACCTGGAATCGGGATGCAAGCATTTCCCTCTGCTACAGCCCAGAAAGCTGCTACAATACCAACATCCCCCAAATGAATCCCACAAAAGACTTTGGACTGTTCTCGGGGATTCATCCCACCATGCACCCATGCGCTCTTGGTTTAGTGGTTTTTAGCCTACCTGATTGAGGAATGGCTGTGAAGCAGAGGGGGCTATGTTGTAATTTTCCCCTCTGTTTTGGGGATGTTTTTCTTTTTTCTTTTTTTTTTTTTTTCCAGTAAGTGCTGTGTTGTGTGAATTGGATTTCTAAGTAGCCAATCTGCTACGTCTAGTCACTCTACAATGTTATTCACTTTTTACATTTGTTGTGGATGAAAAATTCCTGGTGCCATACTGGTTTATGAATGTTTTCCAGCCTACAACAGAAGCTGCAGCCAATCCAGTTATTGGGTGAAATGTTAAGGGGGATAATTCACGTGACTGCGTTCTCCAAACAGCACCCCGGCCTTTTGTACAGGGTTGCATACCGCACAACCGTATCCTGTCTTTTTACTGGAAAATTTCATTATGGCTTCACAGTCTCTTATTCCCATGTTTGGTAATTGGTGCAAACAAGGTTCCTCAGACACCTATTTTCTGTTCTTCATTATTTTGTAAGATGGGAAGTTTGCTGATGGTACACTATTATGCCTTTTTTTTTTTTTTTCTTTTTTTTTTTTTTTACTCCACAAAGAGAACATGACAAATGACTCCATTGTGGACTGTTCTAAAGCAGTGATATCTTTTCACCAGCTAAAAGAAAAATGTGAATGGTTTATGCTGTTGTACGACATTTGTTAGTGACCTCTTCCACATTGGTTAAAAAAAAAGTGTCTGTTATATGCTTTATTTTTTTCATTGCCTTTTCATCAGTGACTTGGGTTTGCTGCCCCTGAAATGGGGGCTGTTTGATTTGGTCAGTTCTTGTAAGGCCTTGCTTTATTGTACAATTTTTACAACTTCTCCAGCTTGCATGTGCTACCCCCCCCCCCCCCCCCCCAGTACCTGTAAAACAAAGAGGCCTTTTAGTGTCTTCTGTCTTTAGCACAACTGCTGCTTCTGCTTTGCCTGCAGACTTCTTGCTGTGCCTTTTGGGGGATATTATTGCCATCTCTGAATAAATAACCTGTCAGATTGTCTTTCTGTGCTTAGACACAGTGTATGGGCTAAGGCAGTTTTAGTTTAGCTTATTGTAGTTAAGTTCTATACTTGAATTTATTTTTTTTTTTTTGCCTATTTTGACCCTTTCTGCTTGTATTCTTCTTTTCAATGAGGGCTATTATCAATACACAAACAACTCTGTAACACAGAATGTCAACTCTTTTTTATAAAACCTGTCTCTAATTTTTTTTTGCTTAAAGCAAAGCAATTCTCAAACTAAAATATCTGTCCAATAAATGGCTGCCTGCAAAAAAGACATGGGATGCTCAACTCTCCTGCCAACCGGCTAAAGAACCTAACTAGTCTTAAAAATGTCCCCTTCAAACGCCTATTCTGGTTAACCTATTGAAAAAAATGATGTATACACTTACCTATTCTCAGTCCGGTCCAGTCACATGATCACCTGTGTCGGTCAGTGGCAGCCACAGGGGAGAGGAGAGAGGCATGCTCAAAAGCGGCAAGGAATGCCTGGGAGTGGTGACATCACCCATAGTCTGCAGAATGAAATGGTACTCACAAACAGCGAATAAAATCAGGCATGTAAGTCCTCCAAGGGACTTCAGAGACAGGAAGCCAGCGCGAATCCCATCATGGGGGTAATCACTCAGTACAGCTGAAGCGTTTTGAAGGCCATGCCTTCTTCATCAGAGCTAACTGGACTTACATGCCTGATTTTATTCGCTGTTTGTGAGTACCATTCCTTTATCAATAAATTTTGGTTACAAGGTTGTGCGCTTCTCGGTTTTGGTTTCATTCTGCAGTATTGGTCGGGCTTCCCCAGCCTTGTGTGGAGCTGCACAACCTTTCATGCACTGGTGGTCGCTTTTTCTGGTTTTGGTTCCATCCATTTGCCACCGGCCTGAGTCCTGGAGTGCAGGAGAAATCATTATTTGGTCCATCACCCATAGTCTCCCATGTCCCAGCTGTTGTTAGCGCTCCCTCCTGCAGCAGCTGATGACTGACAAAGAGAAGCCAGATCACGAGCTGGGCTGGAGCGAGCTGAAAATAGATAAAACATATATATATTTTTTACACTGGTTAGTCAGCATAGGTGTTTGGGACATTTTTAAGACTAGTTAGAATTGGGCTGGAATTTTACTTTAGGAATTTGACACTTCCTGGAGTGTCAAATTCCTGTCCTCCCATTGCCCATTACAGTAGTGATTTACGGGCCAGTGGATTGAACCACTGAGTGAAGCAGGGGACTAGGAAAAGAACAGACCTAAAAGTTTTGAATGCTGATGTGTAGCTGGTGGCTTCTATTCGCTACTGACGAGACTAGGCAAGAGAAGAAGTGAGTGTTGTTTTTCTTCTTTTGCAGGCAGTCCTTTAAGGGACATATTTAGATTTGCACTTTAAAGCAAACCTGTCTGGATCGAAATAAAGGGGCTGCCATTGTTGGTTTGTTTTTTTTTTGGGATTCAAGCTGTGGGATTGTCATTCTGATCCTTACTTTGCTACCTGGAAAAAGAATTCAGCTAGCGAAGTGTCGGGACACCACGTATTCTAAGCACTTGTTTCTAGGTCGACAATTTACCAAGTTGTGAAACAAGAGGAACGATAACAGCTTCCATAGTTTGTACCTTGAAGAAACCTCTGCAATTACAGCTGCTATATTTCTGTCCCCCCGGTTCCTTGTAAGGGTTGTGTCACATGAGTGCTCTTCATACCTGGGATTTGTACCTAATTGAAAGTTGCATAATATCAATTCTTCCTGGACCATCTCTGGTTGGAAGTCAGTGGAAACATTCTTAGCCCTTCTGACATGCATTGTTGTTTGGGTATTTAAAACCTCTATGGATCACAGACTGAAAATCTCTGAGGACCTTGGCCTAGTTTAATGTAGTAGCATGAACAGTTTTGAACAGAGATTTACTCCAGTTAAGGAGGATCTATATTTCAAGAAATGAATCCATGCTTCTGACTTTCTGTAGTAGCACACACACTTCCCCACTACCAGTCTAAGCAATACTAAGACCTTTTCTCTATATTGCATTTGGTGGACTGTCCATGCTGACATGAGTGCTTATAAGAGCATCAATGCACCTGGATGACTAAAAAAAAAGCTGGTATGTTTATGGTGTGTCATAGATAAACCAAGCAGGGGGCACTTTGTTCTTGCTAAATGGGAAAGAAACAGAGAGGTCCACTTTGGAGCAAACTACGTTCTCCAAGCATATAGCTGTGACAATATCATCTTGATTCTCATTTCACTACCTGGAAGAATCCAACTGGTAGAGTGTTGGGATACCACCTATAAACCTTTGTTCAAAGTTAGCAACATACCAAATTGTGAGCCAAGGAAATGGATGACAGCCCCATAGTTTGCACTTTGGCAATTTCAGCTGCCATATTTCTTTCCTGCTCAGTTCCTTGCAAGGTCCTTTTCACCAGGGCGGTGTATGGCCAGTTCTGCAGGCAGGATCCCCTGCTGAACCGAAGTAGAGCGGGAACAGATGTCACTTTTGTGATATCCATGTCTGTTCAGTGTCTATGAAAAAAAAAAATCTGAGCTTTCCATGTTGGATCTGTGGGTGGCTGGATGTAAACAGACTTGCATCTGGGTAGGCAGACTACCTCCATCACTCTTAGGTCTTGAAAAGGATGCAGACTATTTCCGTGTTGTTTTTTTGTTTTTTCCAGACCTGGATGGTATTGGAGGCAAATGGATGTAAACACTGGCATGTCCTTTTACGTCTGTCTGTCCATAGACTTACATGGAGCTTCCGCTTAGATCCTCCTAAAAAACTGATCGGCCCAACTGTGCAAAGGGGCCTTGGAGATGTGTCAACTGAGAGCTTTTCATGCCTGGAATTTTTTTTTTCTAAATGAGTATTTTTGTAAATTGCAATATGTAATTTCTTCATGGACCAGCTGTAGATGGAAGTCTATGGAAACATTTTTATCCCTTAGACTTTGGAACACAAAGGGGGAGATTTACTAAAACTGGGGCGCTCAGAATCTGGTGTAGCTGTGCATGGTGGCCAATCGGCTTCTAACTTCAGCTTGTTCAATTAAGCTTTGACAATAAAACCTGGAAGCGGATTGTTTTCTTTTCTCTTCAGTTTTAGTAAATCCCCTCCAAAGGTTTACATACATTGAAATAATATCAGAGTAATAAATCCAAAGTGTTGCCATCCTGATTTGTTTCTTATAAGGAGATCAGAGTTTCCTCTTTGTTGGCCATTCTCAGGTTTCTCTCATTGGATAAAAACTTGAGTATCTAAATGTGAAGTGATGGATAGTGACATTTCATGACTTTTAGGGCAGATAGTCTACACATCACTTCATTATTCAAATGTGAACGCAAGCTCGTAAAGGTTAGCTCTGGCTGTATAATGTGTGTTTTTTTTTTTTTTTTTTGTTTAAATCTTTTTCCTTCTATTAGTAGAATGTATCACTTAAATTTTTCTGCCGTAATGGCCGCATCTATTTTCTCCCCCTCGTATGAGTTTGCTTGTAATCATTTTATTTTAAATCTACCTCGTCTTGTAGTGCCCATCCTAGACAGAAAACGTTCACCTTGACATGGTTTCATCCATTAGAAGAGGGTCTTCCCATTATTTTCTGCCTTCCTCTAGACTCTTCCTCTAGCTGATTGGCTAGAACGTACTCTTAGCATTTCCTCAATATCGCCCGTGGCCTTTTCTATAACCACGAGACAACTGCCACGCAAGAAAATCTCATAATAGGGAAAGATTATTTCTTACTGCTTCCAGAAAGACAGCTTTAGCAGAAGGTTTTCATTGCAGGACATTGCAATGTACAATATCAGTTACTCCGGTAAATTGTTAATTTTTATTTTGTGCTGATATGTTCAAAATATTTTGTGATGAGTGTTTCCTGTCGTTATTTAAGAGGACTATTTTGTGTAAAACAGGGATAGGTGAAAAAGA